ACTGTAGAATTTCTACTAGAAACCCACACAGGTAAAGGAAGTGAGTTTCAATAACATAAGGAAATGGATAAATAAATATTTCCAGAAAGATTGTAGTATTAAATAATCGTTCCAGAATGAGATGCAGAAGGGCAGAAAACTAAATCCTTGCATTCTATGCAATGTAAATGGAATACTGCTGACTCGAACGCCGTGCTTTTGGGCGGACTGTCAAACTGTCGGTTTATGGGGAACACGCTATTGCTTAGAACTCACGTTAAGAAGGGCTTCTTCCAACGCCAAGCTGCGCTCTGAAGGCAGGTAATCGCTATCTTATTGTAGTCAACAAAGCAACAGGCAGGATTATGTAAAACTGTGGCTGGATGCGAAATCAGTAAGATCGACAGGGCAGCCAGAAACGGAGACTGGGCTGGTGAACACTATAGTGAGGAATGCGACAATTGCTCATTAAGCAGCGGCATCGATTCATTCCTATCCAAGACATTGATGGGTTCCATCAACTGGTCGAAAGAAACGCCTCAAACAATGGCGTGAGCTCTCCTAGCAGCCGTTCAGCAGCAGCGCTACGGATCTTCCACTCCGACTGTTAATTTTCCACCAACGTGTTAGAGCAGTGCAAATGCGCACACAAAACTAAAAATACCAAATTCCTTGCCATATATCAAAGTGAAAAATGTCTGTGGGTAAATCGGATTGATCTTGAGCTAGTCAGTGAAAATAATCAATATGGCTTCATTCCCTATTTCTGCAAATATGGATTTCCCATCGTTTCCCTGGAGAACGGAAGTGTAGAGTAATTGCTCTTATTTTAAAGAGGATTGAACGACCCGCTGTTCCAACTGCCGTAGCGTTACCCTGCTGTCGACTATTTTCAAAAATGCTGTCCTGCATTATCATGAGATTTCTAAGGGGAGTAGCAAGTCAGAAATTTCGCCATATTAGTCAGGCTTCCAGATGGGATACTCCTAACAAATCAAATATTCATTCTGTACAGAATCATTTTGCATTCCGACGATTCCATTTGCTTTGGTTTGCCAGTTTTTTCAACTACTAATCTTCCCGCTCTGCAATGATTCAGCGACGCAAAAAATCATTTGGATATCTGTTTACGTCTTTCCCATTTCGGGAGAGATGTACGCATAAATCATGTCTACTGTTAAAGTCAAAGGACAATTGTTATCCCCCATTAACAGATGCACTCACCTGAGAAATGTGCATTTGGTTGTTTTGTTAAATACTTTTCCAAATTTTCTTTTCTAAAGCAGTGCTTACTATGGCTTAAACGGTAGGTTACATTCTAAAGGGAATTGGCATTTGAAGACATCCGACTAAATATCTTAATCATACGAAGCATGCAGATGATATTGCTCTAATGATTAGCACGATAAATGAGATTTTCAATCGACCGGTTGCCTGCGCAATGCCGTCGTAAATGCCGTACGGAATTCATTAGTCGAATCTAATCTACTATTGAAATCGATAGTTTAAGTCGTAATAGAAGCCAACAAACTGAGTATCAGCGCTTTATCATCTCCACCTACGGCACCACTCTGTCAGAGTTAAATGATAGATCATCTTGGTTTGTAGTGCTTTTATTTAACAAATAAATATTTTGGCGGAGAAGAAAGTAGCCCATTCCATGACAGTCTATTATACCTATCTTCGGATTCACAATCGGTATGGCATGGAAACAGTTATTATAACGAAAGGCTAAGAACGACGACTGAACTGAGTACAACAACGCTGGCTTAGCCGTATCATGATGGTTAAATGAAGGGAGCACTTAGTGAACAGCAATATCATATTCCGGACATTGGTGTCTGCCACAGACTTGGAGATTAAGACAAAGAGTTTTGCGCTGTTGAACAAACGTTGAGGATAGACTGTTTCCAACCCGTGTAATTCTCATGTGAGAGCCGAAACACGACAGACGTTTACTAAGA